TCAAAATGCTGCGTGGGAAATTCAAATATATCCTTTCTGTTTGATCTGAGATCAACAAATGTCTTATGCTAAAATCATAAGCCTTGGCTAGACAATAGAATAATAAACATACATGTCTCAGGCCAACTTCTTAAAAGTGCCCCTCTGCAAACTTTCACAGATTATCCACATAATTTCTTCTTCAACTCATTGCGAATTGTAGTTTCCATAAATTAATTTGCAGGTTTCAATCCAACTTGTTCCCGAAATTCAAAGCACCTATGAATCATCGGTCAGCTATGTAGATGCTGACATCATACACCCCATTCGAAAGATTGTCGTTAATCAATGTCTGTCCGTCTGCTGCCCCAAAAGGTGACAGTGTAACATTTGGCTAGCAATCTGGCCCAACTGCAGACTCCAGTACGGACCTGAGATGGGTGGATACACTCAGACAAAATAACAAAAACGTATTTCTTAACTTTCGAATACATTTTCTATTTGTTTCTTTTATAAAACATTTTTAGTGGGACCATTAAAATGGGGAAATATTATTTCTGCTTTCAAGTAAGGAGATTTTACATAAAATAAACTTTCCAAATATACATATATAATATACAGATTATGAAATGTGAAGGAATATGGGCAATATCTTTTTTTCGATTGTGTGCAGATATATATTTTTGCTTTTTTTTATAATTTTTTTGCTGTCTCCCATCTCGACCGTCTGTAGTCACGCCACTCCAACCGCCTACCGCCCTCCTCACTGCTGCTCAGCGGCAAATGGTATTTCATTTTGGCAAATGCAGTCTACCAACGAAGGATTTGAGGCAAAGTGGTCGCAAAGGCGAAAGCATAATGCATAATTACAACAATGGCAGGACGAAGCCAAGGACGAGCCAACGAAATGAAGCGTGCCCAGCCGGGTGACTAGCTGCCAAGGTGGTCAGGGTGAGTCAGTGGGACGGTGTTGTCGCAGAATAGGGTGTTCGCTCGTTGCCAGGGTCTGGCAATTTTATCAGGACATCCGCTTTCAGCGATTTTTAATTGCTATTGTTACAGTTTATTGTTTTATTATGGAGGCCAAGTGAATGAATGAATGGCCAGCAACCAGTGACAGAGACAAGCAGACAGATAAAGAGAGAACGAGAGAGAGAGAGAGGGAGAGAGAGAGAGAGAGAGAGAATGAGAGAAAGAGATTGTGAGACTCAGCAAAATTGAGAAAAAACGCAGGCTACAAATTTTGTTGTGTTTTCTTTTGCCTTACCAAGTTTTTGTTTAATATAAATAAGCAAAGAATTATAGCATTTAATTGTAGTTGGCGGCATGCCAGCTGCGACAGTTGCTATTTAAATGAATATATTTGTCGTGCATAAATAATTATTTTTATGTATACATGAGTATGAGTATAAGTGCGAGTATTAGAGCGAGAGTATGACTATGATTATGAGTATAAATTTGAGTATGACCAATAGTTCGACGAAGGCCTTATAAGTGGACCTGGTTCTTTCCTCTTCCAAAATGGCACTTGAAATTTGCGTTACAAATGCCAACAATATATTATTATACACTTGTCCAGCTGTGTGTGTAGTGTCTTGTTAGTAGCAACTAGTAACATGTTTAGCCAATGGACAATCCGCAATACGAATTTTATATTATGGTGCTCTAGTTGAGAGTGTCCGACTAAAGGATACCCTGACAGACTGAACTCGAAGTTGCACAAACATATGTACGAATACCTATACCTATACGCACTACAGAATTACACGGCAGATAAGTATCTCATTAGATGTTTTCATTAGCATGCAGCGCACACACATAAACTCGGCCTTATTCTCATGTGACGTAGGCAGCAGGGTATACGAAATGCGTAATAAAAAAAAGACAAATAAAAAGACATTGTGGGTGTCATTATCATGACGTTTGAATGCCCTAAAAGAAAAGACTTATGGCAGTTAAGTTAAGTTTTTTCGGACATATCATCAGACATTAATCAGCTGCATATTAGGTTTGCTTCTAGATTTGGGCCAAATCTAGCTGATATCGAATTCCAGCTACAATTGGAAACAAATAGCAACAATGATACGTTAGCTTTGGTTGTTCTCATACATATATTTTAAATTGACTAGTGCAGTAATTAATATACCGACAATTTTAGGGTATCAAATATGCACCGATAAATGCGATGTGTGTGCGTGTGTGTGTGTGTGTGTGTGTGTGTTGGTGTGGGCATGTACTTATGCAGATGTATACTAGTAAATAAAAATATGCCTAACAAATATAGTGAAATGAAACAGCAAAGTGCACTTCAAAGGCAGTGGCAACATCGGGCAAGAGCCATATAACAGCCGAAAACATAAGCATAAGTGCTTCTCGTAGGACGACAACAACAGCAGCAACAATAACAACAACAACAATAAAAACAACAACAGCAGCTGCAGGTCCGGGAACATGAGCAGGAAGAGGACTGCGCAAGGACTGCGAATGAGAGGACGATGCCAAGTGTGCCACTACAATAATCATAAAAGCGCAAAGGAACAACGACGACGACAACAACAACAACAACAACAACAATGTAGCAGTGGCACTGAAACAACAAATGACAACAAATGCCTGGGCAGAGGATTTGGAGTTGTCGCACACACACACACACACACACATATATATATATAAACACACACATATTTGCTCCTTTTTGTGGGTTCACCTGCTCCTGTCTGCTGCTGTTCGAGCTTTCTTTAGCTGCAATGCACATGCGGAAATAATGTATTAATCCTGTTGAGGCCATATTTTTATTGCCATTGCTGCTGTACTTAGCCCCCCAGGAACCCCTGCACCCGCCCCTGTATCTGGTTTGTAGCCAACAATAAACCATTATGACAAATGTGTGTGTGTGTGTGTGTGTCTGTGTGTGTATGTATGAATCAGCGTCGCTTGTGAGAGCATTAACAGTTATTCTATCTAGGTAATAAACCGAATTCGCTTTATATTTGTAAAAAAAAAAAATAACAACAACAACGGAGTAGTCAGTCCCTTAAAACCTAACCACAAACTAGACTAGCTGAAAGTTTTCATTCAAACTACATATACCACATGTGTAGCGATTTTATTGTAGAGAGAAGCAAAGAGAATCGAGGTAAGTAGATTATTTTGCACCCTACTTAGATTATTCATATGCATGCAAGTCACATTCTATGTGGCTTGTGATGACACATCTCATATGAAAGTTAAATATCTTATCTGAAATTGAATTGTTATACGCATCTGACATTGATATTTACTTTGATCTGGCAGACTGATCTCATTCACATTCAAATTCAGCGAGTACAGCCTGCTAATTATAGTAAACTCGCAGATTTGCGGGACTGGCGTAGATCCGCGACTCAGCTCTCAGTGTATTTATTTATACAAAACAGGAGCAGCCACCGCCGCAGCAGCAGCAATTTAAAGCACCCTCATAAATATTGCTGCTTGGCGAAGCAACGTTTAATTATTATTACGTATACGCCCCGTTTGACGCATTCGTTGTCTCGATGCACAATGGGCATTATTTATGCAAGTAGCGCTCACTTTTTACACTCTGATACCACAAGAAGACGAGTATATTGGGTATGTGCAGTGTCCGCCATGCTGTCCTTCCTTATGAGCGTAAATTGTTTCGACATCCTTCAAGCTAAGACTTGAAGCATGGAATATATTCCATTATGCCTCCGCCAAAAAAAGTGTTAAATTTACGATGCTACGTCTATTGGTGGGGCTGGGAAAAATCAGATATCTTCCATATTTTTAATTGACTATGTACCCAAAGATCGGCATCGACCATGCCCACCAGCCTTCATTATAAAACTGAAATGTCTACATCTTGATCTTGAGCTGACACCAAAACTTGAAGGTATTTTACCAATTACTCCACTGCCACTAATGGTGTATATCGATCAGACCACATATCTTACACAATCTGAAAGCCATATTTATAATATTTTAAAGGTACACAAATATTTTCAGTCCTCTTCCAATGCCGCCCCCAAATATCGCAAGAGCCAGTAACCTTCTCCTCAGATTTGTAAGCAAATTTCTTGACCGCCTAGTGACCGCCTAGTCACATCAGAAATAGGAAAAGTCGAGGCACGCCCATCCATTGTCATCCTAGCCTCCCAACAAATAGGTATAATACTGGAACCAGTGTATTCCGCAGTCGGTTACGACCAACAGCAACGTTCTCACTTATTTTTCCTCTGCAGCTGACCAGCACTCGCATTAAGGGAGACCGAGAGGGAATGAGAGAGAGAGAGGAAAATATAGGTAAGCAGCGGGTGGTAGTGGGAGTGGGTGTTGTAAGCCGTGTCTGTCAATGCTGGCGACAATTATGCGCATGTTGCCGGCTTAAGCAGCCATTGTTCCTTTAGATGCTTTTTCATAAATTTAAATACAAAACATATTAAGTTTTATTGCATGGGGCTTAAGTTGTTGCCTTTGTCGCTTTGTTGTGTCATTCTCCTCCTCGGCCCCCTGCTCTGCCACGCATACATACATTTGTATACTTATGTCGAAAATCCAGTGCGAAATTTAGTAACCCGCATGTGTTATGAACTGCAGTAGAGCATTAGCCGGAGCAGAAGGTGGAAGAGGGCTGATCGTCGTAGAGCTTCAGCTTGTTTTGGGGATTCAAATTTATGCCCTTTGCTGTGGCTTTCTTTTAATTATATGTTGTAAAGTGCGTAAAACCCCTTAAGCGGATAATGGATGGTACAATAAAGTACTTGTACATAAGCATATGACATTACGCCGTGGATAATGGACTGAATCAACAACAAAACTGACAAGTAAGTAATATTCTACATAAGATGTTCCACTATTTGTTATTTATTTTGATATATGCATACGTATAGCTTAATCTATATCTATATCTATTTCAATATCTACGTCTAGATTTATATCCAAACAAACTCTATAAATATTATTGATCAGCAACAGACACTGCTATCGTCTGTCTGACAATCTATTTAGAGACGCACTTCAACTTTATTTTTTTTTATTTTTTGAAACCAGTTTCCCAGTATTCAACAATGGGGCGTGGGTGTGTGTAACATTGAATGCATGATTGAATGAATATGAATTCTGAAAAAAGCTGCAAGCGATACTTCCTTAGTCAAGATCAGATTCGGCGGAGTCCTCTTCAAGGCGCGCAAGGCGATGTTGTGAAGCGAGGTTCGGAAGAGGCTGCCATGGATCGAAATTAACCTCGCTGAGGGAGTTTAATCCTCCTGGCAATGAACCCGGATCGTATTCGCTTGGACTAAAGTACTCCGTATCCAATGGAATGCCCACATCCAACTCGAGGCTGCTGTCAGGAGAAGCAGCATACTGAAACCCACTGGCATGCTTTATTGAGACGTGACAAGCCAGATTGTTGATAGGTGGTATGCGCTCCAGGGAGACGGCAACGCAGAGGGGACAGATGACCAACGTGGAGTCCTTGCGATGCTTGGTCTGCACATGCTCCACCAGCTCCTGGTCGGTGTGCCCCATCTTGCCGCAGAAGGGGCAAGTGAAGCTGTCGGCGAACAGCTCCGTTATCTCTTCGCCGGCAAAGAATAGCTCGCGTGCAGCACGATCCAGCAGGCACTGGAACGGATGAGTGCTGCTATGAGTACCCGTTTCCACCTTATTCTCATAGCATCCGGCGCACAGATCGTAGTCGTTGCACCGCAAGCACTTGTAACGGTGGTGCACCATTTTGGTTGCCTCGCATCCATCGCAAATCACATTCCAATGCATTTCCATTCTGTTTTCTGTGTGGGCTTAGGTAAGCCAATTAACTATCGCCTATATTCACCGTGCCTTAAATAGTCCTGCTTTAATATGCTACTTACGCTCCGTTTTTGATATTTTGCAAAATTAAGAATTGATTTAGTGACTGACTCCAGACTATTCTCGGAATGACTTTCACTTTACAAAAAACTGCTGTCAAAGCTTTCTTGATTCTGTTTCTGACCATTTGAGTACTTGAGCCTTTAATGGTGAGCTAGTTTCCAATGGTAACTGTGACTATGACTGTTATCTTGGCTTTAGTCAATCGCTGCAAGTAATTGATAGTTATAATAAGATAATTTATTTTATGCTATTATTGACTCAACACTGTCTTTTACTCCTCTCATATAAGTACATGCGACGAACGCGAACTCAAACAATCGTTCCCAGCTGTTTAGGTGCATTAGTCATAAATATGCAAAACATTCACCGAAATACATGAATTTTCATGTATATATGTATGCATTTGCGACTATGCGAGAATTGCGTACGTAACTCTCCTGATGTGTTTGTTGGTCCGAGCCATAAATTGGTCCAACAAGAGGAAGAGAGGGAAAGCGATAAAAAAGAAGTGTTAAAGTCAATAGCTTAAAAGCAGCCAGCCAAAAATATTGCAGTCAAGAGTATTAGACAAAGCCCGACACTGCTAGTATATAAAAATATTATTGATTAGCATGATGCGTGGTGCTGCAGGGCTTAGTGGCGAGAGGGGCACTGTTTACGGGGGCTCCAGTTGCCCCCGTTAGCACTGCAAATGGAGACGCCTATTAGTAAGCAGCGGGCGATGGCGATGGCGATGGCGAGGGACAAACGCATGCTATAAAGCCATAAACGCCAAGCCATAAATTATGCTTGCCACACTTGGCAGCTGGATGACGCGGTGGGGCGGGGCTGGACGGGGCGAGGCGAGGCGAGGCGAGGCGGTTCTCTTGTGTGACATGTGTGAAAATGCACTTTGCTGTCACTTGACTGTTTTGTTGGCTGCCCTGTTGCTGCTGACAGTCGCGGAAGTGTGGGGCAAGGGATAGCTGGAGCAATATCTGAATATCAGGAGCCCACAATGCCCCACCTTACGATGAAATTTATTTATTTCTCGCGTTTGTCGAAACCATCTGACCCCGCTCGCTTCTCCATCTGTGTGCGAACCCTTTTGGGCTCGGGTCGCAAATTGGCGGGGAAGAGTTTAAATTATGCAGATACCAATCGAACTGCATGGTGATGAGAGGGCGAGAGATTGAGAGAGACAGAGAGAGAGAGAGAGAGGGAGAGAGAGAGACAGAGAGAGAGAGAGAGAGAGGGAGAGAGGACAACGAAAGCTTACTGAATCGTCAACAGTATTATCCTCTACAATTGCATAGCATTAAAAACAAACATTCCTAAATCCGCAAGTAAATTGAAAAAATAAATAAATAAACTCGTTTGCTCACAAGTATAATATTTATTTGTTAGGGTCTAGAAAATATTCATATGTGTGTATTTTATATTATGTATATTATGTACATATATATATACGAGTATATATTCTTATAGCGAATTCTATGAATTTATTTTATATATGAACATTATTATTTATTAATATTTGAACATTTTTATTATTTTACTTAACTCACATGAGCATAGCGCAATAACTTATAAGTTTTCATCTTGGGGGCGTTAAGATAAGCAAATAAATAAAATGACTTCATCATATTTATCGATATTTATCGATATCGATTTCGGACTTAGCAAAGCAGACGAATAAGAATTCGTTAAATAAATTTTAACTGGTTATTGCAATACATCAATCGAATCAGTGGCAACATTGTTGACGGTAATTCGTCAAATATTTTTCACTTCAAATATATTTTCATTTGCGAATGCGAGTGGGAGAATTCTCCATTTGGAATAGATTTCATACCAAACTACTTATTATGGTTATCATATCATTAAACGTGTTATTCGCTGTACTACTTTTTGACCACTTACTCCCACTCTTAGCCCACCCCCACTTCCGCGCTCTTCTCAAGCTCCATTTGTGGAGTCAATTTGGCAGGCACCTTGCAAGCCAGTTCAAGTTGGGAGTTGGCTGTGGTACGCGTGGGTGTCGGCTCGGACCTGATGTGATAGAGTGCCGCGACACTGAGTAATCTATTTTGTGTCCGGGTGTGTGACACACACACACACACACGCAGAGAGCACTCACTAATAGTGGCATATAAGCTGCCACGTTTTGAGCCACGTTTTTGGCATTGTGCTCAAATTGTCTGGTTTTGCACTCGGAAAAACAAAGAACCATAATTACAAATATTAATTTATGTAATTCCCCTGGAAATCGAAAATATTTTTCGAATCTTTATGTTATTTTTTAGAAACTATTTTAAAATTTATTATATATATCCTATAAAAGTGTTGTACTCTTAACAAATATGCTTTATATTGAGAAAAAAAAGAAAAATTAGAAATAGGTAAATTCTTTTCCCGATGCTAAATCATATACATATTTTTTTTTCGAGTGTGTGGGGTTATGGGGCGAGTTTTGCGTTTGCGTTTGCGTTTGTTTTTGGGCTTCGCTTTTGTTTTTGGCGTTTTTACACGGCCAGCATAACAATGTCGCCCGACAACAACAGCAGCAAGAAGAACAACAAAAACATCAGCACCAACGAAAAATAGCGAGTGGACACATGAATTATGTGCAGCACTCGAGTTAAACAACCGCCGGGCGCGTTAGCCAAACTCCCATGTTTCTCCTGGCACTCAGCTCTCGGTTTTTAGCTTTTAGCTTCCAGTTCAGTTCGCAGCAGCAGCAGCAGCAGCAGCAACAGCAGCAGCAGCAGCGGCGGCAACGACAGGCAAACAAAGAGCGACGACGTGTCGTCGACGGCTTCCTACTAAATGCACGGACTGCTAGGCTCTTTTTTTACTTTGTTGTTGTAGCTTTTGCTGTTGTTGCTGGTTACAATGCCTTTTTTTATACACTCACATGACCGGTTTTTGTTGGCTGGCCATTGGGGACGCGTTAGTGGTCCGTGGCGGAGGCGAAGGCGGTGGCGAGGGTGGAGACGGAGTCACAAAACCCAGACGCCGGATGCGGGCTGACGACTGTATGAGAATTGTATTCGAGAGAGAGAGAGAGAAAGAGAGAGGGAGACAGAGAGAAAGAGAGGGCTCGCCTCTGTGTGTGAGTGTGTTTGCACTGTGTACAAGTGCGCGTTGACTTTGCTTGGCTTTGGCTTGTTTTGGAGGTCACACAACACACACACACAACATACACACACACACACACACACACACACACGAACATACATACAAAGAGCGAGAGAAGCAACTGCCATTTGGGAGTTAGCTTTGCGGGTATTAAATTATACATCATTTTGCAACAAATGATGGTCGTTACGTTCGCAACCGCCATACACATGCACACTCACACTCCCAAACACACACACACACACACACACACACACATTGAATGTCTCATGTGGCAGACGCATAGAACTAGCAATTGTTTATACTCTGGCAAAGGAGCTCATTGTTTTGCTATTAAGTTTGTAGTTTGTTTTGTATGCTGTAAAGCATTTTAAGCGCATCGCTTATGAATGAAAAAGTTCCTTATTGCTTGTAATTTATTTAGTCTTCTTTTGGTTTGTGCACACCAGCAGTTGCCAACCTACATTCGCACCTCGCCCTCCCTCAATGCCACAAAACTTTTCCCTTGCCCACGTCAACTCATTCAAATTGAAATATTAATACAGCTACATGTCTAGATACATACATACATATATGTATATATACATACATATATGCTATTTAGGCTGCTTTCAGCACTGTTACTAGCAATGATCAATTTGTTTAATTTTTTTTGCGATTGCTTGATTGTTTTTAGAGCGCAAACTCAAAAAGATTTAAGTTGAACTGCAGCCAACGGCAGCATTTTAATCGATCTTAATTACGCATCCCTGTCAGTATGATTGTGTGTGTGTGTGTGTGTGAGTGTGTGAGTGATATTTCCTTCTGTTGATTTAACGACTACATTTCCAACGACAGCACTATGGCTTTCCATTGCGCAATTGATAGTATTGCTTACGCACTGATTGCTTTGGATTGCAATCGTTTACACGACACTTATTTGCACACATACACATCGCACACACATCGCACACACATCGCACACACATCGCACACACATCGCACACACAGCGCACACACAAAGACACTCACACACACACATATGCGCTACTTTAATTATGGGCTGGCAAAATGGCGAGAAAATTAATAACAATTTGTTACGATTACGAGCAACATTGCTGATTAATTTATGCGACTGCAACTTTTGCCATCGCCATTGGCAAACATCGTTTCCCTTTCTACTTGCCCCCCACCTTTGATAACCCCGGATAGCCCCACTACGACAACTACCCATGGCACCTCCTGCCGCCAATCGCTTGTCGTTGCTTGATTTATGTTCGCTTAATCGCCGTCACCTCGTTGCACTGTCATCAGGCGGTGTCTGAAACCGAGCACAAACACAAACACACACACTAACACACACTCACATATTGTGGATTTTTATTTTGTTTGTTTTTTTTTCAAAATTTAAATAATGTGGTTGCCAAGGATGACGACGCCACTTAGGAAATTATATAACTATCCATTGCCAGACATTCATATTCAACTTTTGATTTGTCTGTGACTGTGTCTGCTGTTTGCTAATGAGCCTAATTGAAAACTTGACTTCTCTGATTAATTCGTGAGTGCGCACTGAGTGCATTCATAGCAAGTGCAAATATGCTGTGATAATTGTATTATTAAGTGCTACCCCCAAAGTAAAGGACACCTAAGCGACTGTTAATAAAAGACATTCATTTTATTGTCATCATAAAAAAAACAAAACAAAAATAATATAATGCTCTGAAGCGTAGATTTAAGCTATATGGGAATATGCATGCCTGGAAATTATTAAATTAAATTGGTTGGCTTGCGAGTCCCTTGGCTCATCACCTCGACTAATTTGAACTGTAATTAAACGTGTTTTACTCACGAGCAATATGAATAGATACAAAATCAATTGCCTTGTTTGAGTGCACACACAATAATCCTTAGCTGCATCGC